AAAAATAACAAGAGTGTCTTATTTTTAATAACCAACATTACTCTATCATCTTCTACTATGCACTATTTAAATGACCCAGACAATAGAAATGATTAATTGAACACTTAAAGGCCAAATATAAATGAGCAGGTTTTGATTTCAGCCTATCTTATCTGATTTGTCCACCCTCAAAGTGTAAACAAATTTCATGGAGTCTGGGAATGGGAGACTGTTAACATGCTAGACTTTCAAGTATAGAATAGAAGGAAGCTGAAATGATCTCCTTTGCGTTTTTAAATCTCCAACACTTGTCTATCTTAAATATAGTATATATTTGCCTATTAGCATTAGCTACTGAACAATTACTTTTAACAAAGCCTTTTGGTATATTACCATGTTTGCTCCTAATGACAATCCCATGAGAAAGTCATGGCAAAGCAGTGATCTCCATCTTACTTTTTAGGAAAGTGAGAGAGGTGTTTTGATGTGTCCAGTGACCTCTCCATGCAACAGAAAGAGAATAATCCAGAAAGGACACTCCGCTTTCCCTCCTATCCTTGTTCTGTTGACACTGCACTGCACTGTTCTTTAGAACACTTTTCCCTAGGAATATTAGGAGGTTTTTAAAAAATTACTTTAATAACTCTGGAACTCTGGTGGCGTAGAGGTGACCCGTTGGGCGGTCTGAAACCACCAGCCGCTCCTCAGGAAAAAGAAGAGGCGTTCTACTCCCATAAAGAGTTGCAATTTCAGAAACTCACAGGAAGAGTTTTGCCATGTCCTATAGGGTCACTATGACTCGACAGCAGTTAGTTGGATTTTGAGTTGTTTTCGTGTGATAACAGGGTAGAGTATAGAAAGATCTTACAGCTGCTATGTTACCAACATGTAGATACTAATTCTTTGTAATGAATATATCATAACTGAAAGTAGTATCTTTCTATAGAAAACCATAGAGAATTACTGAAGCTGATATTGGAGTACGATGATCATGATTATTTTCAAAGCACAAAAATCTTGGATTTAGAGAAAGATTTCTGCTCATTTTCATTGATATTTACTACTATGAAGAGGCTTCAAAAAAGCTTGAAATTCTATTCCGAAAATGGGATTAAGCATAATGGAACTTTTCTTTTATAAAACCACTTGTCATTGTGAAGTAGCTGAAGGTATGTATACAGAGCTGATCAGTTTTACAGTCAACAGTTCATACACATCTTATCTCAATCCATCGTAGTCCCTTAATGGACCATCACTTAGCCCACTTCCCCCTTGTGTTCCCTGTTTCCATTTCTCTTTCTTTCCTGTCCTTTTTATCTCTTTTGAACTTTGTCATTGGGTAAATGCTACTCTTGGTTTTATGTACATGGCTGATTATTCTAACCATCTGGTGAGTTCAGTTCCAGACCTGAAGTGGGATTGGGGGCCATAGTCTTGAACGTCCCATCAAGTTCTGTCTATCTGATCATTAAGCCTGGTTTCTTTTATGATTTTCATTTTTCTTCAGTATTTCTCTCCCACTCTATGCAGGAGTCATCCTTTCCAGAGCAGTTGGTAATGCGATCCTTTCCAGAGCTGTTAGTAGTGGTAGCCGGGGACCATCTAGTTCTTCTGTTCTCAGGGTTGTGTAGTCTGATATTTGTGTGGTCCATTAGTCAATTGGACTAATTGTTTCTATCTATTTGTTTTTATCATTCTTCTTTCTTCTGGATGGGGACAGGCTAATGGCTACCTCTTAGATGGCAGCTCATGAGCTTTTATGATCCCAGTCATTACTCACCAAAGTAGGATGTAGAACACTGTCTTTGTGAACTACATTATGCCAATTGACCTTGGGGGCCCAGCGACTGTGGTCCTGATCCACTAGACTCAGTGACTTAGATAATAGAATTTTCCTGTGAACTTTCTGAAGCGCCTTTGTACAGCCAGCCTTTTCTGGTGCCTACATCTTACTAGGTTGTTTGTTTGTTTGTTTGTTTGTTTGTTTGTTTGTTTGTTTGTTTGTTTTTAACCAACCTGCTAGAACTGTCAGGTTTACAGTGGAATTTTAGAGATGTGTACCAAACAAAAGATTACGCAAGTGTTGAAAGCTCCGAGGGGGTGTGAGGGATGAATATAGCAAGGAAGGAAACGGAAAGGACATCATTTCAAGTTTTTAAAAAGTATATGATGATGCTTCAAGAAGTTTGTGGGAAAATAAAATGAAAAGATGGGTGTGATTTGTGAATTTTTGAAGCCCCTTTATATAATAAGTTAAATAGCATTCAGTGGTAAACATAGTAGTAATATTGTTGGCTGGTCTTTTTTAATTATTTATATTAATTTTGGTTGAATAGTCTTGAATGAAAAAGACACTTGGCTTGGATGTCTAATGTCGACAACAGTAAGCATTACCTGCTTTGCCTTACTACAACATTTCTAAGGCTATTTGTTCTCTTCTGAGCTATTTTCCATGCATGTGACTCTTATTTACAAACCACTTACATTAACAAATTAATTTGTATTCTATTAGCAAATAAAACAAGAAAACAAAATCCTTTACATCTTTTTTATTGTCCTTTGTTTTTGTAAAACTTTGGTAATGTTTTTAAGACTCTATAACATTTTTTTTTTTAACTCTGAAAAACGCATCTGTGAACGAACACCCATGATTCTAAGAACTGGGGGAATCATTATTTGGCTTACAAAGTATGAGAAATTTTGATTTTCACTTACGCAGACTGGAATCTTTGGACCCTCCAAATTCATTATTGGAGAAAGTAGAATCTTGCTTCTAAGTCAACTCACTTGTGTCCAGTCACATATCCGTGTGTTTCTCTCCCCCAATTCCATTCTGAAAACAAGAAAGCAAGAGACAAGCAAACAAAAACCCCAATCCCTTTCTGTAAGAAAAGGAAGCTGTGGCCACAGGGATTGCCTGTGTGGTCTCATGTCTCAAAAATGGTAGTGGCTGAAATGCAGGCATATGTTAGTCCTCAGCCTGATTGAAATCGTGACCATCTCTTGGAGCATAGCCATGCTGGACTGTGCTTGATAATTTGGCTCATCATTTGGGGGTTAGGGTTGCTGGAGGAGAAAACAAAAGATGTAGGAGTAGCATTGTAGAGTCAGGTAACAAGCACTGGCCTGCTGCGTCCATTTCTCAGCTTAGTTTCCTTCTTGGAAATGAAGAGGTTGCACCAGACTTGTGCTTTTAAATGGGTTTTTCAACAGAACAACTTTTTACAGTCAGGTCATATACCGTGCTACAAAGTATAGGAGAAATGCAGCAGTGGGTGGCGTCTGCATTGAGGGTGGAAAAGCAAGAGCCCCACCACTGGGCTGCCTTCAGTGCTCTCAGTATTGGGGATCTCCCCGCAAAACTCTTGGTTGCTGCAGAAAACAATTTGAAGTTCCCTCAGATCATTTATTAGGGCCTCAAAATTCTAAAAACTCAAACCTTTCTGGCATCCGAGGGCTTCTAACGACAATGACACAGGCAAGCAGGGCTTTGCTTGAAGTTGACCCCAGAACTTCTGCATGGCCAGCAACTTGAAGGACCCAAATCAAAAACCAGCTCACCCCCTGCCCTTGAGTCTATGCCAACTCATAGGACAGCGTAGAAGTGCCCCTGTGAGTTTCTGAAACTGTCACTCTTTCACGGGAGTAGAAAGCGCCCTCTTTCTCTCTCGGGGCGGCTGCTGGTTCCAAACTGCTGATCTTGCAGAGAGCAGCCCAATATGAACTGTGACACCAGCAGGGTGCCTTCTGACTTTAAGGAAGTGATTTCACTTCACTTGTGTAAAGAACTGTATTCAAATTTCCCCAAGAATTCAGGCTAGGTGAGGAGTCTCCTGACTATGCCAACAGCAGTATTTCCAAGTAGATGTAAGATGAAAGTGATTTGATAATCGTTAACAACTCCACCTTCTTCCATATTCTAGTCCCCAAAGGACTTGGGAAGTGGAAGACTGTGCCCTGCGTATACAAGGGGAGGGGAGTCTATAAACTCTCCTAGTTTGCTTTCTGAGATGTATCCAACTACGAAAACAGAGATGGAGGAAGGTCCAGGGTGGTAGTATCTAGCGTAGGCAATATTTGAACTCAATAGATAGACGGTAATCTAAAGTTGAGCAATCCTGCTTGAAAATAAAAGACTAACAGTTTAAAATTATAATCTCCAAAAGTTCTTGTGGTAAATCATGTGCAAATAGACCTCACTTTCTTCATTCATTTTGCAGTAACTTACTTTATTCTTTTCTTGTATGACTGCATTTTCTTATTTATCAAAATCTTGATATAAGACTCATCATCGCCGTCATTTCTTATTTATCAAAATCTTGATATAAGACTCATCATCACAGTCAGTATGGTGTCTTTTGCCTGCCCAACCAAGGCTAGAGAGGGGTGCACACAAATTCGTAGACAGGTGTTCTGAAGAAGTTCACTGTTGCAGAAAAGAATGCATCTTTTTAACCAGAGGAAGAAGAGCCCTTTGGGCCTGTGGAGAAGTGTTCTGACATTTCTTGAATTAATTGCATCACAAGCACAGTGAATGTAATTTAGCCAATAACTGGTTGATTGGCTTTGATGATCAAAATGAAATAGTTTCTGCTTTTGACCCATCATTGTTGGTATACCAGGGGATTTATACCAGGGGATTTAAAGGTTTTACTTTAAATGCAAAACAGCTGTAAATTGTGAGGAAGCTATTGCTGCTTCCTGGAAAGAGCCTGGTTTACTCATTGGTTGGCTCCACTCCTGAGTATCGCATCCTAAAGGGCATTAGACAAGGTAGGCTGTAGGAGGAAAGACTGCATTTTCCCTGGGGACCGTGTTTGTTAAATAGCCAAAACCTTCCTCCTTTCTGCTCGGCGTGGATTTTAATACTAGCCAAAGCCTGTTTAAAATATCTGTGGCCAGTGTTTACTGAGGTTTCACTGTCGTATGTAAAGTGGTGATTAAGTGCTGGGGTTATAAATCACTTGGCGAGCCCCATGGAATTTTTACTGGATTGTTCTCTTCTGTGTTCTTCTTCCTAGGATATCAATAACCAGAGTGACCGCTGACATTTCTCTTGCTAAGAGATCCGTCCTAAATAATCCCAGCAAGAGAGCAATAATTGAACGTTCAAACACCCGGTCCAGCTTAGGTAAGATGGTCCCACGTGGTGCTTCTTCAAGCTCTGCTTTCATGTTGCCTTTTCTCCTTTGCCTCACCTTCTGAACGGGAAGGAACTGCAGAGTTGGAGAGAGAGCTGGAAGTGAGAAATAAGAGGGGCAGAGTCCCACAGCTCACTCCGCTCCAGTCAATTAGCTCATTAGTAGTCTGGTGGGAAGAATCCTCACCGGGCTCTGACCGCCTGTTTCTGCCGAACCACATGAAACCTCTCACCACTGCTCTGCCCGAGCTCCTCCGTGGGGCCCACATCATCTGCCACACCTGAGCCACAGCAGACATGAAAAGAAATGAGGTGTTGAGTCTTCTCCTAGCTACAGAAGAAAACCCAGATAATGATGTCCTTTGTGTACCTTCGGCTGCCAGCTGGTGGTACTAGAATCATCTTGAAATGGAAATAGAAACCACATGCAGGGAATGGAGACATGTTTTCCCTAGGATGTTACTAGCCAGAAGACATCATATTTACAATGACCTGTTGTTGCTTATTCCTCCTTTAGCGGAAGTACAGAGTGAAATTGAACGAATCTTTGAGTTGGCAAGATCGTTGCAACTGGTTGTTCTTGATGCGGACACCATCAACCACCCAGCACAACTTATAAAGACTTCCTTAGCACCAATTATTGTCCATGTGAAAGTCTCATCTCCAAAGGTAATTATTTCATTTCTGTCTAAAGGAGATTAGAAGTTCATTTCTTTTGACGTGCTCTTCGCTGTGTGCTTTTTCTTTCTTTCTTTCTTTTTTTTACCCAGTGGGCAAGGACAATGTCTTGTTAAGGCTGTTAATGAGCACATTATTAAATCCCTATAGTTTGTACAGTTTCTAGGCATTTTGAGATGAGCAAGCGCCAACCAGGAATAGCCCATTCCTTGGAGGAAATTACTGTCTGTGATGGGGAGCATCCGAGACAGTTATGCAAATGTGCCATAGAACCAGAAATGCTAGCAAGGTGAGGGGAAGTAGGCATTGGCTTTTTAATCAAATGTCTGTTCTATCTTGATACCTCTCTTGTATAATAATGATCCTTCCATCGTATAATTATCTTCCCAGTTGATAGGATGCATAGTTTACAAAGGGTATCTCTAGTATATATGCCCATCTACTGCCATTGAGTTGATTCTGACAAACGGCAACCCTATAGCACAAAATAGAACTGCCCCAGAGGGTTTTCAAGGCTAGAAATTACGGAGCAGACTGCCACAAGCTTCTTCCATGGAGGAACTGGTGGACTTGAACCACTAACCTTTTGGTTAGCAGCTGAGCACTTTAACCACTATGCTACCAGCCCGCCTTATTTATCACATAAAGAAAAGGTAAAATATCACTATGTTAACATGTCTTATGCAAGCATTACTGATGCTGGCATTTGTGTTTAGATTTAGGTCCTCTGAACAATATAGTTGTTCTGTGACACAGTGCCTTATATCTTCCTGCCATTGGGGAAAATGGAAAAACAGAAAAATGAGACAGCTTCAAATATGTCTCTTCTGATTTGATGAGAACTTAAATCTTCCGATTAAAAGGGTGCTGATGTGGTATAATGTTCACGTGAAAGAGTTAGTCTTGCAAGGCACTACCCTGACAATCAGCCTCTTTTCAGTGCCTCTTGGAGCACATTTTGACAACTAACCTCCAATTCAGCCCCTAACCAAAATGATATCCTCTTCTTATGGGCAGAAGCATGCTGAAAAGCTGTGCTCTTCCCAGTTACTCTGACCTTCTCAGCCTCCATCTCCAGACACTAGGGTTTCAGAGGGTGATCTAAGGAATACTGACCAAACCAAGCCCTTCAGGAAATCCTTAGAGTGCCTTGAAATTGCCCTGCCCACCTGCAAGTCTCTTTGACTCAGAGCTGATGGGAGCTTCAAGCACCCCACATTGCAATGGAAGAGAACTCTACCCAATCTGATCCCCTGCCTCAACCACCATGGAATCCAAAAGTTCAGGAAGTGAGGCTCTCACAGACAATAGAAGATTCCATAGAGCTTTATAAACTAGCACTACTTTGCAGGGAGTACCCTGTGAAGGGGTAAAATGAGGTGGAGAATGTATGGCAGTTATAGCAGTGCTCAAATGACATGGCTACACCATTGACTTAGGTGTGGCAGTGTAAAAGTGCAGGTGCCTTTTACAGTGCCTCAATTTCCAATTTCCAATCATGCACTAGTCTGATGAATACAAAATCAAATTGGAATACCTCACTAATGTCCATGATAAATAAGACCAAATATGAGGGGGCTTCAAAAAGTGTGTGGAAAAATTCTACTACCACACACTTTTTGAAGCCTATTCACGTTTCGATCAATGACTGCTAACGATCTGACATTAAGATAGTGAGTCAAAATGCTGCTCAACTGATTTGGATATCAATGATCTGACGCAGACCTGGTCTTCCCCTGCTCAGATCGCTCTTTGAAATCTCTGGGTAGCAATTCTGCTTTGCAAATCCGGCTAGACCAGAGCATGTACACAGGTACAGATAAGAGCTGGAAACAGGGAATCCAGGACTGAAAAACCCCACAGGACCAATAATGAGAGTAGCGATACCAGGAGGGGAAGCAGAAGGTGGGAGGAGAAAGGGGGAACCAATCACAGTGATGGACATATAACCCCTTCCCAGGGGGATGGACAACAAAAAAGTGGGTGAAGGGAGACATTGGTCAATGTAAGACATGAAAAAATAATAATAATTTATAAATTATCAGGGGTTCATGAGGGAGGAAGGAAATGTGGGGAAGGGAGGGGAAAAAATGAGGAGCCAATACCAGCGATTCAAGTAGGAAAAAATATTTTGAAAAGGATGATGGCAACAAACGTAAAAATATGCTTGACACAATGGATGTATATATGGATTGTGATAAGAGCTGTATGAGCTCCCAATAAAATGATTTTAAAAAAGAAATCTCTGGGTAGAATTTGAGGTGGGAACTCAAGATCCCACCAAGACCTCACATGGAGCTAATATAACATTATGAAATCCACTGTGTGTGCGTGAATGATTTCATTCCAGAATTTATATATAATTTCTCACATTGTGGATCCTCTCCCTTAACCCATGGGTTATTGAAAAGATCTAGATCTGCTTCCACTTGTTGACAATGCCTTCATTTCCTATTTTACTTCAGGTTTTGCAACGGTTGATTAAATCTAGAGGAAAGTCCCAAAGTAAACATTTAAATGTGCAACTGGTGGCAGCTGATAAACTTGCACAATGTCCCCCAGTAAGTACAGTCATTGTTTATCTTACTCATTCTTAACTAAGTGGGAGAGAGTGGGGTTTTTTCCGTCATATTTGCATTGTGATTTTTATTTTAGGATGATGATGATGATGAGCTGTTGTCTTAAATCTAAAGTATCAGATCTATATGCATATATTTATAGGTTTAGTATTAAGGTAGCAGAAGGACATTGGGCCTCCACTCAAGTACTCCCTCAAAACAAGAATACTTTCTTCTATTAAATTGGCATTCTATGAT